TAACGGCTATCGGCTCAATAATAATAATAATAATAATAATATAGAAGGTCCTAATTAGATAGGTTCTATAACTAGATAGATAACTTAATTACTCTCTACTCGTACATCTATCGGTATATTATATTCCTTAAGGAAAAGAAAAGGAAAACTTAGACCTAATGCCTATATTCTCGCTAACTAATGATTAAGAGTGCCTACCTGTACATTATACAGGCAAATTCCACTAATCACGTTCCAGCTTGCCTTTCTCCCCCATTATAGTAGTTACCCGTAGGCCTCGGTACTTCATACCTGGAGATTATCTACCTACGTTCTCCTCACTTCTGACTTTTACTGCCTATAAAGAACTCTGAGTCCAGACCCTAGCTTTCTCACGCAACGAAGAACCGGTTTAGATCTTTAACGGTCTTTCAACTAGGCTATGAGTCGGGTTGGAGTCATCCACATCGTCCTCCTTCGCTAGAGTCTGTGCCGCGGTGAGTTCTGGATTTCTGAAGCACAAGGCAAATCCGACCAACGGAATGCAGAGGCACAAGCCCGTGACGCACAGCAGCAGCTGAACATGGCGATAACTGTTATTGATAGCCTCCCTGATGGGTGTCCCAACGGGATAATGGGCCGCGACGGCAAACGGATTAGCGTAGATCAATCGGGGGAGTGTGGTATTCGACTGAAACGACAATTTCTCCTCCAAGGTCGAAGGCAGGACCTGCGACCAAATGGCTCCTGACACACTAGCACCGAGCGCGTGGCCAATACTGTGAGATGCAAGGAAGACACCGGTCATTATCGCCATTTGTTCATGCCTCAGCGCGACCTGAAGGGAAGACAGTGCGGCGTATGGAAACATGCCACCTCCAATACCCAGGAGGACTTCCGCGCCGATGACACCCGACCGGGAGGACGACGATGAGTCGCCGCGGTATTTGATCAGCAGCCCGAACGCAACCATGTACAGTACCGTTCCTGCCACCACGAGATACTTCATGTGTCGGGACCAGTAGACAAACAGGCCACAAAACGGCCCGACCACAAAGGACGTGAAGAGGTAGAGACTTGTGATTCGAGTGGCCGCTTTGACCGAAAAGCTGAATGCAATCACCAGAAGTGTGTATAGGTAGTTTCCCTGCAATGCGTAGGCAAAGTTGGTAGTGATGGACAGTGCAATTGGACTCCAGACCCCTAGGTCTTTCAGATCCTGGAGCCGCACGAGTGGTTGAGGTGCTCGACGCTCCCAAAATACAAACAGTGGAATGCAGACAAACCCGACAACCAGCGGCGCAATCACGTGCGCCGTCTTCCAGGTTGTCTTGATGCCGCCAGCGATGGTGAACGGAGTAAGTATCAGAGCGATGATGGCGATAAGAAGCAAAAGTCCGATGGTGTCGAGTCGCCAGAATGTCTCTACAAGGGAGAGACGCTTCGCGGTGGATCGCTGAGAAGAGATACGTTGTGCCCGCCGGTCTAGGAAGAGTAGGGTACCGACCAGTGGTGCCACGCAGATAGTGATGATGATGCACCACATACCGATACCCCACTGCCATGTAGTATCTTTGAGGACGGCCGATGTGATGTTGCCCGAGACCCAAGTGGTGATTGCAAAGTGAAGGTTGGGAATGTACACAGCAAACAGGCGAAGCCGGGTCGATGTGAGATCTCCGACCAAGACCGTCACTATGGTCTGCAGGCTTGTCATGCCGACTTGCCAGATGACCGCTCCGGCTGCGTAGCTGTCCACACCTGTCGACGTTGCCTCGACGATGCTGCCGACCATGTAGAAGACGATGGCCAGTCCAATGACCTCGACACGGCCAAAGCCGTCTGCCAGTCGAGCCGAAGTAAATTGAGCACCGGCAGCGAAGACGGTGCGTAGAACATTAACAGTCGCCAGTAAGGAATGCTTCTGGTAGCTTGCGGTGGCATACGTGGTGTAGACATTTCTGACCGTCGCGTCCAACCCGTAGGCATAGCCTACAAGGAATATGCAGACTAGAAGGGCCGTGAGGCTGGTCGTGGTAAGGCTGTTGTATATCGCCTCGATTCTGAGAACCCCAATGGACTTGTGCCCTATTGCCGATTCTGTCGTGTCTGCCTTTCCGGGGAGTTTGTCTGGTGCTGCCACTGGGTGCGGGCTCACAGAAGCTGTTTCTTTAGCTTGACCGTAATTCTCCCCTTTTGTAGAGGACATGGTGGAGGAGACTTGAGGGGAGCAGGCTGACTAAGGATTGCCAACAACAGGACTGAAAGAAGTTACTTAAGTATCAATGATTGTCTACAGCATTGGCCCTCGCTACTCATTCAACTGCCTATATATATACACGGTCTACGCGTACTTAGCTACAGTAGATCCGGGTGGCAATTTCTACTTTACATTCGACAAGCGGAAGTGTAAATGAGGACCTTAAAGAGCCAAGACTCCGCCTCACGCTCTTTCATTCAGCTATATGTACTCTCAGCCCCTAGCCGGTCCGCAAAAGGAAATGCAAAAGCTTCGCCCGGCTGCGTTTCCTTGTCCTCAGCACGAGGATCACTCACCTTCCACTTATGCTGTACGGGTGAGGTACGTTACTTATCGACTGTACTCCGTTCTTGCCCGGTGGACTACTATCCTTCCTACGACCACCCAACGGGTCATATCCATTTTCCCACCTCGACGCTCAGGAGCATATAAAGTGGGTCGAGAAAAGCGTGTTCCGTACTCATGTTATACTGCATGTTCGCTAGTTTCACATGATATAGCTCGTGACTGGGGGATCTACAGGCCTTTTTTTGAAGAAGCGAGGAAACGGGGCACAACTATCGCTTTCTACTATATGCTGATTGGACGTGATAAGCGATAAGAAGGGCATCGATCATCCTTAGCATGTCTGATTTCGACCTATAGTATCTCTTAGTAAATTACTCGAGACATTCAAATTCAGTTAGACCTTAGGTTGAGAAATCCAGACCTCTCGGTCCCTCGCCTAAGACTCAGCCTCGGGCGCCGACAGATACAGACTAATTTTATTAGAAAGATTAGAGTAAAAAATAGATCTATTTTATAGTTAAAGTTAATAATAGTGAACTGGGGCGAGGCTCTTAGCCAGAGGTATCAACTCGTACGGCGGTGGGCATAGTGGTAGGGGTAACGACTATCGCTTAATAACAATAATAACAATATAGAAGGTCCTGATCAGATAGGTTCCATAACTAGATAGATAACTTAATCGCTCTCTACCCGTGTGTCTATCCGTCTATCTGTGTGTCTACTTAAGGAAAAAGAAAAGGAAAACTCGGACCGAATGCCCGTGTCCCTACTAACTAATGATCAAGAGTGCCTACCTGTACAATATACAGGCCAATTCCACCAATCACGTTCCAGCTTGCCTTTCTCCCCCATTACAATACTATATAATATATTAAGTCTACTATTTAAATATAGGTTAAGTATAGTAAAATATATAGTAAATAAAATAAGAAGTTACTTAGAGTATATCTAAAGAAGGTTATATTATAAATAAACTAATAGATAAATTATTACGCTATAAGCGAATTAATAACTAAACTATTATACTAGAAGCGGACTAATAGCTAAATTATTATACTATCTAGACTAAACTACTTTAGTATTTAATATAGATAATATTTAATAATATACTCTTTAATTTCTTAAGATAGGGTATTTCTAGACTTCGATATCTTAATAATGTAACTAACTATAGAGATAAAGAGATCTATATTAGATAGAGGAAGAGAAATACTATACAAATAGCTATAATAAAATAAAAATATCTAACGGAAATCGTTAACCTTAAGGGGTAGAAGAAGGATGGAGAATATAACTGACTAGCTCACTAAGGGAATGTAAAGACCGTCAGCGTGGTTACTAACTAGCCTGTTTCGGCTCTGAAAACCTGAATGCATCACTACTAGTTTGCTCGAAGTGACTAGAATTAGTTTACCATCTTTGGATCTACAAAATCTTCGATGAAACTGGGGCAGTAATCAGCTCCTGTGTGACCTGGACGAATCTGATACGGTCCCTCTACCATGGCTTTATTGGCTAAAGGATCACTTTTGGCCGAGCCTGGTAACGCCCGTTCTAAACTACAGGTTGTGCTGATGTCGCGTGTGCGGCTAGGCTGTTTCCAAGCTAGGATATCCAAGAGAATTGATACACAGCCTTAGGTGGTGAGTCAAGTTGAGCGGAAGTGTAAGGCCCTCACCTTTTACATAACCTCCATCAGCACAAACGTTCCCATGACTAACCGGTAGTCCTTCTAAAATAATGCCAGATCGATTGATGTGGCCGGAGAAGATTTATGATGGGATACTTGTACAGGCGCATCTCAGATGCGGTGACAACCTCAGAATTTCCACCTACATCTCTCAAAGCCCACATTAGATCTGGTTCAGTGCTTACCTAGATGATACTTCCATCTAGCTTCATGACTTAAGCATCCACTGGATTTTATGGATCACAAGCAAGACCATCTTCCGTTATCCGCCGCTGCAGGATTGATCAGCTAGCGCCGACATGTATTGTAACGGGCATTGACTAATGCATGACCTGGAGCTCGTTCTTCCACTTTCTGTTCCACATCTTCCCCCAGCAATGCCCGGGCCCCAAATGGAATGGTTTCCTCTTCCAGATCGAAGGAGAAGACCTTGAAGGCGGCCAACGAGATCAGCAACGTCTTCGGCCGTGGCACTGTCTACCGATTCCAGCGCAACGAATTGGCAAAGTCGAGATCAGACTTGTTAACATGCGAGATGATGATTTTGCCCGAGTTTTTCGAGAGTACTTGGAATGATGACTATTATAGTTATTTTTGGTGGTGATCGACTCACCCACGCTCCTCCTGGCTTGACTGTCCATTGGAGTTTGTCCATCCAGGTTTTCGACGGCCCTTCAGTGTGCGCAGGTTTCGAAACCACGTCAAACCAATTTTTGTCTGCGGTCTTTTCCAAACTCATTTGCATTGGGCCAACGTTTTGGCAAGGCAGGACGTTTCAGCCGTTCCAGCTGCTATCTATACTCAAGCTCCTTCTCTGTCGTTGAAAAACTGAGGTATTATCTATGCCAGAAGAGTCGGGGCTCAAGTGCTTCATGACCAGTCCGGGTACGCATAAAGCATGTTCTGCAGTCGCTCGATACCCGAGTTTGGTCCGTCCGTCATGAAGTCTTCGAAGGAGAAGTCGTACGGGTGGATGGCGTCCGATGCAAAAGGTTCGTCGGTGAGCATGACAGAGAGTTCGACATTACCGCTGCCGGCACCTCGCGATGCCACCGACTCATTCAATCCTGATGATGAAGTCGCTAAGACACAGTCTGCCATGCTAGTCGTCTGCAGGGACCTGAGCGTAGCGTCGCTCGAATCACCAGCCGCTGAGTCGTTCATCCGATCTGGGATGGGCGAAGCGTCAGAGTCGGCTGGCGACACCACAAGATTTGATGAATTATCGTGGTTCGAGGGAAAGCGGCCCCGGGAAAGGAAGAAATCCAACGTGTTGCTCATATGAAGGTACTTTTGCGGATCAGAAATGACAATCTCGATTCCTGCCCCACGTTTGGCAGGATCTGCCATCTCCATAGATCGATCCAACTCTGACCGCTCCGCCAGGTGGTTTTCTGATGTCGATTTCACTGTCATAGGTGAGGTAGCATCTTCCAGGTTCATATGATTCACCAACTTTGACATATTGCCCAGAGCCCTGTCGGTACCTTCGTATCTCAGCTGGAGAACGCGGAGGAAATCTTGGTATATATTGGCCCCAGAAGTGCTGGCGGCTTTCTGCGTGGTTGCATTGTTGCTCAGATCCAGGTTGTAGCAGATTGACGGCAGCGCAAGGAAAGCCACCCTGAGGCACGAGTTAGCAGCAATTCGCACAAGTCCACTCGGGATAGCACCATGAAGAACTTACATGCTAATCGGAGAAAATGTGATCATATCGGCGTCAATTATGGCTCGTAAGCTTTGCGCGATGCCACGGAGGGCAACCTGAAGCTCATTCTTGATCTGTAGTCGTTCAAAGTTGTATTCTGCAGGCTCATTGACCGTGAGCATAATTCTATAATTGCACAGTGCTGCCTTTGCAGACCTGGGGCGAAATCAGTACGCTGCGGTCAGACCATGCGAAGCACTGTGCCTTACTGGAAATAGATGGTGAGAAGATTGGTGAACAGGATGACCACGTTGAAGCTTTTGTCGCGCGGGTCATGGACTCGCATACTGCTCGCGACCCCATCATGCCACTCGTTCAACTCCTCAGTGTATATGTAAATGCCCTTGAGGAGCTCGAGACGATCTTTATCGCAACGAACGCCGTCACTCGGGTATAACAACTGTAGAATAGGGCAAAGGACCACACAAAGCTTGCATAGTGCAGACAGGCTGTGCAGCAGTCTCAGCTTCGCCGAAGTACCGCGCACGCACGATCGGCCAATTTCACTCTTCAAGTCGTGGTCCGTGAGCAGAGGCCAGATTTCTTCAAAGGATGCCGAAAGAATATTGATAGGCCTTCTGAGCCCCAAAGCCATCGTTCTATCGCGAATGATGCAACACCACCAGACTCGCTTCAGCTGATTGTGTCTTGCGGGGTCTCTACCTGCATACGTCGAGAAATGGTCTGCGCCCGCGACTTTGGCCAGATGAATGGCCACGCTTAGCCAGTAGGTGTTGATCTGTGGCTGATTGAGTGGAACATGGAACGTCATCAGCAACGCTCCTTGAGCCCTTGCCAGACTACTTCTCTCGATATCGAAATCATACAGCGCCTAAATACACATTAGGCTTCTGAACAACTGGAAGTAGTAACCAGGCTCACCTTGACCCGGCGGTAGTAGCTCGCTCGCGCCGCACGGACACTGGAGAATCCTAGAGCCTGGATCGTGGAAGAAGACACGAACTGAGTCCAAGTCAGCGCGTACATTCGTCATGGCGCTGGCGAATACAGCCCTATCTGAAAAGAACAAATCCGAAAAGCGCAGTAAGCAGGATGAGGTGTAGACTCACGCTGCAGGCAACCAATAGCATTGCTTGGAAGACAAGTAAAGACATGCGAGAAGGGCTCTGAGTATCCGTACGGTCATGAAGATACGTGTCCCAGAAATCCCCCTCATTAATTAGAGGTAAATGCGGATGAGTGTAAAGAAAATAGGCTCGGAGAAGATCGTCTAGGTACGTTCGTTGAGGCAACTTAAGACAACCGATGCAATCAAGATAGTCTAAATCTTCCGGTGGGATGCGTGACTTGAAGTCAGTGTCCAAGAAGGGATAATCGGTTGCATGCACCTGCTCTGCTGAATTCAGTTGCGCGAAACTGTGAACTGCATCGGCGGTATGTCCGGGTGGCTGTGCAGGACGTGTCGGATTGGAGGTTACCATGTATCTGACCCCAAAGTTTCCAAGTTGAGAATTGTCAGATTGTCCACTGGCGGCCGTAAGAGGGAAATCACTTGCGGCTGGCATGTCGGTCGTTGATGAAAGTGCGTCTGGTAATCGATGCTCCTGCGACAGCTGCCATCTCTCGCCCTCTATGCCATGGTATGGTAAGCTTCTCTCGAGCATCGGAGCCATCGACGTGCGGCTAGGTTGTTGCAGCTCACCAGCTACGTATCCTTCTCCCTCGTGCGTGCTTTCCACCTGCGAAAAGTCGGTATCGTGCAAAGCTTGGCCACCGAACTGCGTCGTGGGCAGCAACGAGGTATGAGAGAGTCGACTGGAAGCGAATCAACACGTTAGAGCGGCGGAGGAGCGGCAATAGCTCACTGTTTTCTTGACCTCTTTGGAATCATGCATGGCTGTGCATCGGCCCTGCAGTTGGTACAAGGCACTCCATTTTGCGTGACATCGCAGCGGACCTTGCGAGTGCGGCAGTAGAGACAGGCTCTGGATCCCCGCTTCCGTCTCTGAGCGTGAGAGACGAGATACGAAGCACTCTGGCCAGCATCGCCAGGGCACGCGTCATGAGTGGACGCCATCAGCGCAATGACAATGTGACCTAGCGCCGAGAAGTTCCCAGCAATTCAATAAAGGACGCTACTCTATCTGTGGGAGCGCGGGGAAGAGGTGATGTGCGCAACTTGATGCATAGCAGGGCAGCAAAAAGAGACGAGATTCGATAATTTAAGTGCGGTGCGTGAGGTTGGCAGTCAGAATCTGGAGTTTGCAGGGCCTGGAGAAGCTTTTTGGAGAGACAGCGGCTGGTTAGTGATTTGGCTAGCACGTGATGAGATAGATACTCGGCGGGGGCTAAAACGCTGACTAAGCGCTGCAAGGGATTCTTGACGGCGTCAATCACTCCGTGCACGCCCATATAACGATCAGTGCATCATGAAACTCAACAGCACACTCACACTCAGTCTGGTCCGGATCAACCACATTTATTTGCACTAGTGAACGTACCGTACCATAGTCAAATGACCAAGGGGAACTTTGCTGTGAATGACATGGCTCCAAAGGCCATGGCATCTCACCGTCGCCAACGTGATTGTGGTGTTGCAAACGACAGAGCGAAGAGCATTGGCACTGAGTGCACGGATTACTGCGGCTGCATGATGCTGTTGCATATAATCATTAAAATGTACTTCTACGTGCACTGTGGGAGGAGATGTGGTCATGTGATAATTTTGTATTATTACGGGTGTATACCGAGGACGCTGTGCACGGTATTCACGGGATAATTGACGCCGGCACCTTCAGAAGTGCTGCACCCCTGCGTTACTCCAAGCTGGGAACGCTGCCGAGAATGATTTCGGATGTAATGATACTAACGCAGGCCTCAACGTGCTGTGAGGGCGGTCTTCAAGAGCAAGCTAAATATTCCACAGAACAAGCGACCGAGACATGGCTTGTGCTACCCCCGGCTTTCGGCCGCTTCAATCGCAAAGCATGCCAACTGGATTGTGGAACGTAAACTAGAACGCTAAGTCTGGGGAAGTGGAGGAGGCGAGTTGGGACTCGCTTGGGCCCCGCAACCGAAATATACCGAATATTGCCGCGGCCTGGAGTATCTAGATAGCACCGAGAAGCATTGACTAGGATCGAGAGGCCGATGCACGATTCGTGTCACCTCTCCTCCAGAGATGAGCTATGGCCTGGACTGCCAACAGAGTATGTGGCCCTTCGCGAGCGCGTCTTCCCCGATTACGATTGCTTCAATAAAAGTGTTTCCTCCAGCCCAGATCAATATGAGCCTCTATCTGCGTCTTCGCTCGCTTGCCGCTCATTTTCAAACAGTGGCATAGCATATCAAACGATAGCTCAGAGCATGCTTGTCCCAACGAAGGCACGCTGGATCCTTCCGATATGCAGGCGACACATGAGAATCCCAAGTATCGATTGGGTCGTGCTCGCACAGCTTGTTTGACCTGTCGGGCACGAAAAGTTCGATGTGACGCTACGCAGAAAGGTGTCCCTTGCACTAATTGTAGGCTGGACTACATCAGCTGTATCATGCGGTCGAGATCAAAAACGATGTGAGTGTGGGCTGGCGGACAAAGGGGCCTCCTTTGTGCAGTCTTCAACACCATAACTGACCTGGGTTACATGTTAAAGAGACCCTTGTCAACCGAGAACGGACCCTTCCACTTGCGCCATGACCTTTGCGTGCGTTGAGCCGCGAAAGGTGTCCAGGCCAAACCAGACAAGAGCCTCAGGATCGAGTCGCCACAGTTTAGACTGCGAGACACGAGGAGCACTACAAACTTCGCGATCGAGGCCTGCATCTACCTTCTCTTTCCCCAGTCCTAGACCTTTATACGACACTGCAAAGACTGAGTGCACAGCGCCTGGGCGGTGTGCAGACCTGACACTCTGCGGAACGGATGTCATGTACTCTTATTATCCGTTCCTTTCCGCAGACGCAGTCCACCAGCTCTTGTTACAAGATTTACAATACCTGGAGAAACTGGGATGCTACCGAGTACCTGCAAGAGCTTCAGTGGACGAGTTTGTCAAGGCGTATTTTCGTTACATTCATCCTCAGCTGCCCATTTTAGACGAAGGTGAATTTTGGAGAGCCTACACCGAGACGTCGTCAGCGCCGACAAGGACAATCTCCATATTTGTCTTCCAAGCGATGTTATTTGCAGCTTGCAGTGTGAGTGCGTATCAGCTCCAAGCGGCCGACTCAGGCTCATGTTACAGTTTGTTCCATTCTCCATACTTGAACGACTCGGCTTCCCCAACTTTCGCACAGCTCGTGCCGCTTTCTACCGTCGAGCCAAGGTACGTGACACCCGACCCACAGCTGTGTCTATTTGACTCAAGGGTATCTCTCTAGGCTCTCTTCCACGTCGACTCATACAGAAGTAACCTGTGTAGCGCACAAGGCGCTTTGCTTCTTACATACTACGTCTCAGCTTCGGATTCTCAGGCGAACACTCAATGGCTGAGCAGCGCCATAAGTCTAGCTAGAACAATCAACGCACATCGACAACACCTCCTCGGGGAAGCTTCTGTCCAGCGTCGGAGCGTACTACAGCGGCTCTGGTGTTGTTGCCTGGTCCGAGACCGGATTCTGGCGCTAGCACTACGAAGGCCATTGCAGATCGGAGCAGAGAAGGAAATTCTTGCTGGAGACGGAGCCAGGATCCTTCGTGCTGAAACGGCTCAGTCGATTGTCTATGACTTCCCCACCAAGCTGGCTTTGTCGACTTCATTCTCTGCACTTTGCAAACTGGCCAACTTATCGAGTCAGGTTCTTTGCATCTTGTCATTGGATCCATCGAGCCCAGGCTCCGAGGAGCTGACGACGATTACTGAGAGGGTGCAGGATTGTGCAGAAGACCTCGATCACTGGTTTGCCGAAAATTTGGCAAGATACCGCGTCAATAGCCTCGCAGATAAATTTCTCACCCTGCAAAACAATGTCATCTCCATCTACTATCAGTAAGCTGCATCTTTTCGTTTCTCGGGTGTGTCTAATGTCAAAACACAGTTCGACCAAGATAGCACTCTGGAATCACGCAAGTTATGCTGCAATCACGAAAGGATGTCCTTTACATGTGGAGGCTTCAGCGGGCTGGAGAGAAGTCGAAACTGCCATCCACGGCATTGATACGAGTCTGCAGCGAATCGCCGATCAGGACATGCTGTCATTCATGCCCATTTCCATGTCAGTCATGCGGTATGCAAAAAAGAAAGACTCACATCGGCTAATGAGTCACTACAGTGTTGCCCATATCGCCATACCTGTTCTCCGACATATCTTGAATATCAAGCTGCGTCAGTGGGAACAATCAGCCACCGCTCGCAGGCGCCTAGAAGTCTATCTCGCTGCTCTGAATGCACTCAAAGAAAAATATGAAGGAGTCGACCAAGTCCTCGACTACATTCGTCGGATCGTCACCTGCTTGGATGCGCGCAGAATGCCGCCTCCTTCCTCTCGGGACGTTATATTGCCCGAAAAGTGTCCTCCATCGAACAACAGCGATGGCGTAGAAAGCCTCGTCGGCTCGCCCCAGGTTTTCCTGAGGGCGATTGTCGTTATCCAGATCGCGTTATCACAAGGCAAATACCCCGAAGAGCACGAATTGCCTGCGCTGCCGGTCTCTTCTCCTGCGGGAAGCAGCACTCAGAGTATGTGTAGCTGTCAGTCGAATGAGAGCTGTGAGCTGCCTGACTTGGGAGACACCTTCGACGGTCTGCTAGACACGACGTTCATCACTGGTGCGCTCGAATTAATACAAACAGAAGATGCCTACGTGGATGATGCCATGGTAACGGGGCAACCCAACTCGTTCACAAGTGAGGTAGACTTCGACGAGTTCATCGACCTTCATGACAGCACTTGATCTCCAGCTCTACCATATATGGATGAGCCGCCGGAAATTTGGGTGCCCAGTTATTAGTTCAGGATTGTAACATTAGTCGGCATGGGGCATGGGTCAGTGTCATCCCCAAAAAAGCATATTCAACTGAAGGGTGAATGAGCGCTATGATTGAGCGTGTCTGGTGTTTAGAGACCCACATGTAGATAGGCAAATGTCCCAGGGAACAGTCGGTCAGCAGTGCGTGCGCGACTATGTTATCTGTGAGACTCTGCAAGACTACCATTGTCATACGCCGACCGTCAAGATGGCTATGGGAGGCTGTGACGTACGGACACAGCAGCATAACAGAGGGCTGTGCAGGTGTATCATTGTCGTTGGTGAAGAGGATGTATGTATGCTGTATAGCTATGTTCAACCTTGGAACGACAACGTAATGTACGTAGTTTGTCACTTGGACCAGCCTATGTCCTGGTTTTGAAAACCTCTATCTATAATCGGGCTTGGACGTGCTGGACTTTGGACCTGTCACGAAGCTGCCTCCTCAAGATCTTGCCGGATGGGTTTTTGGGTATTTCATCGACCCATTCCACCCCCGCCGTCAGCCACTTGTAAGTTACTGCACGCTCTTTGACGTAGTCGATAATCTCCTGCTCGGTGACCTTGGTACGCGGTTGCCGCAACACGAATGCCCTGGGCCTTTCGTCGCCGTCAGCGGTTGGGATCCCGATGACTGCCACATCAGCAACCGCGGGGTGCTCTAGGATCAGAGCCTCCAGCTCGGCAGGAGGGACCTGGTTTGCCTTGACCTTGATCAGCTCTTTCATGCGGTCCACAATGTAGAAGCATCCGTCCTCATCGACATAGGCGATATCGCCAGTCCTCAGCCAGCCCTCAGAGTCCGGCGAGAAAGCATTCCGCGTGGCAGAGGGATTGCGCCAGTAGCCTTTCATGACATTGGGACCACGACACCACAACTCGCCTGTGTGGGCGGGACCCCGCTCGGTCACCTCGGAAAAGGATTCGTGGCCGGAAGAGCCGGTGAGGATCTTCACGATCTTGGCCTCGCAGTTCGCGTTTGGTTCTCCGACGCCAAAGGACGTGGAAGTCTTGTTTGGATCCCATCCGAGGAGGGAACAGGTCACCTCAGTCATGCCCCAGCCTTGCTTCATGTTAAATCTGCGGCCGCAGAGATCCTCGATCGCTCGGCAGACATCGCTTCCGAGCGGGGCGGAGCCACAGTTCATCGTCTCGATACTGCTCAGGTCGTATTTCCTGGCTGCGGGATGCTTGGTCAGGGCCACGGCAATCGGAGGCACGATGGTGAGATCAGTGATGCGGAATCTTTCCACGTTTGCCAACATTTCGACAAAGTCGAATTTGGGCATGATGTAGACGGGAATCTGGCGGAGGAGAGCACCTGCGATATATATCGTTTGAGCCATGGCGTGATAGAGAGGCAAGAAGCAGAGCCATTTGGAGCGTCTGTTGAGTTCATCATAGTTCGGAGCGAGAGTGGGAAGGTGGTTATACTGTAGTGTGTTGGCAATGTAATTGTAGTGCGTGACTTCGACACCTTTGGGCACCCCGGTTGTGCCTGAGGAATAGTTGAGGGCGATGGTCTTGTGGCATTTGTCGCCCTGTTTCCAGTTAGAAATAGCACAGCGCTCTGAAAGCATGTGGGCTTTACCTCAAGCTCTTCCCACTGAAACCCCTCAGCTTCTTCTGCCGGCGCAATCAGATCAGACCAATACCTGCACCCTTTCAGGCCTGCCTGACTAGCCTTGTCACTCAAGAAAACTTTCTCGTCGTACACGTAGACTCGACTCTTGTCCAGGCCAGCCTGTTCTGCGGCTCGAATTCCCGTGTCTATAGAGACATCCGAGCAAAGAAGATAAGTGGCTTGCGAATCTCGCAGCTGATGCGCCAACTCTCGGGCAGTAAAAGTCGGATTTGCCCCTGTGAAGACTCCTCCGGCCATAACAATGCCCATAAACGCAACGGGCGTAGCAAGAGTATTCCCAGAGAACACCAAGACTCGGTCTCCAGGTTCAAAACTGGGGCTTTTGAGTAGGCCCAAAGCGATGCGCTGTGACCAGAGCCGGAACGTTTGGCGAGTGAGAAAGAGCTCTTCCGGGCGTGTCGCGTCAACGTAGGCTTTCTTGTCGCTGAGATCTTTGCATGGGGAGCCGAACAGGAAGGTCGGGAAAGAGCATTGTGGCAGTGAGATGGACCATCTCGATTTGTATGGCATGGTTTCTCTTTTTGACAGCCCTTTGGATGTCTGGGGCGTGATGGGAAGGCTACTAGGAAACCGTTATGCTGCGCGAAGCTCGTTTCTCTTTGATGTGACGGTCCCTGCGGTCGCTTGGATGTGAGAGCAGTCGGAAGGTAAAATTGCTGCTCCAAGGGCCGACTGAGACCGACTGAGACCGACGCAGCGTACGGAGGGATCGCACAAGCAAACGTGTTATCCTCCCGAATCCAGAACACGACACAATGTCGAAGCCGCGGCAAGGCTTCGTCTTCCCGTGGGCTCAGGAAGGTATGGCACTTGGCCCAGCAACACCATTCACCTCGGACGCTAATTCAACGCTTGTTCTAGAACCCCCAAAGCCTCCCGGATCAAGGAGTGCATCGTGTCAGCATCTGAGATTCTACCGGAAACAACCGAAATGTACCGGCCGGGTTCCGACTCACTCCCGTGGGAACCGACTCCTGGCCGCTCAGCCCCAATATACACCATTCCCCAGATTCTTTATTTCCCCGTAATCAAGTCTTACATCAATTCTGGGACACCGCCGTCTTCTCCTCTGACTGTCAAACACCCTTTTCTACCAAACAAAAGCCATGGCGCTACAAGAGACCAAGACTACGGTCGCACAGGATCCTGTCGACTCCAAGCAATCCAGCGCAGATCATCTTGGAGTCCACGAGAAGAAAGACGCTGCGGACGACGTCCATATACACAACGAATATGCTTACAAGGGAGATGACTCCGATGGCAACGTCGCTTGGACTCTTCGTCACTCCGTGGCCGCAATTTCCTTGGGCATGCTCTATGCCGGTCAGCTCTTCCGTCATTCGGCAGTTGTCCCTTTTGCTGACTCCCTTGTAGGGTCCCAGGTCATGCTCTACTTCGTGGGAGGATGTTTGTCCTTCATAGAAGCCGACCTTGGGGCCGAGAAAGTGGGAAGCTGGCTTCCCGTCTCGAACACGCTAGCTATTACTGCAGTATCACCGTTTGTGGGTTACTTACAAGACCTGCTGGGCCGGCGCAATATCACTCTGGCGGGCTCTATCGTGATTATGCTGGGAATTGCTTTGATCGGCAGCGCCAACTCCTTTGGACAAGCTGTAACAGGGATGGCCCTCTCTGGCGCAGGCGCGGGCGTCTGCGAATTGACCGCTCTAGCAGGGTATGAGGGCAAGAATCTGTCAGTCATTATTCGGAACGCTGATGCCCAGCAGTTTGTCGGATATCGTCCCTGTACGTCGGCGTGGATTTGCATTGGCGCTCATGACTGCGTCAATCCTGCCATTCACGCCCTACGTTATGTATAGGTAAGGCGCCACAATACCCTTGTTTGTTTTTGTTTGCCTCCTGACGGGTCTCAGCCAGTTACTCTCCACGTACAGGACCTGGAGGTGGACGCAATGGATAGCTCTGTAAGTCTCATTGTCAATTGCATGCGAGATGAGACTAACTTCAACGCAGGATCTGGAACGGCGTCGTTTTCTTGGGCCTGTTGACGACATACTTCCCAAAAGCACATCCTCGCCTGGAGGGGATGTCCAAACAACAGATCCTCAAACGCATCGACTATCTCGGAGCCATTCTGTCCGTTGTGGGCATCACTCTGTTGTAAGTGGCGCCCTGCTACTTTCATAAGCCATGCGGTTGATTGGTATATAGCCTCGTCGCCCTCCAATCTGGCGGATATACTCATCCATGGGCAAGCGGCTACGTCCTGGCACAGCTGATCATCGGAATCTTGCTCATCATTGCCTGGGTTATCTGGGAATGGAAGTATGCACCGCATCCCATGATCCCACGCGAACTCTATCAGGGACAACGGGTGGTGGCCCTTACTTTCCTTGTTGCCTTTGTTGCCGGCTTCGATTTCTATTCTCTGATCAACTTCTTCCCGATCTCATTTTCGACTCTTTGGAGTCCGGATCCGGTTCAAGTTGGCCTGAAGGGTTTAGGCTATGGCATTTCAACCACCGCAGGTGCAGTTTTCTGGAACGCCCTACTGTCGACGAGACTGGAAGCGAAATACATCCTGCTGATCTCTTCCATTATCATGAGTAAGCTTGCCCCCTGCCCCTGCTTGCAGAACAAGAATGTCTGAGTTCCTCTCCAGCTGCTTTCATCGGCGGTCTGGTCGCTACCACGCCAGAAACCCCCAAACTAGCAGTCGCCCTCGGCACGATCGCCAGCTTCGGCGTCGGCGGCATCCTCGTCCCCGCTGCCACCGTGGCTCTGATCGTCGTCCCGGACTCTCTTCTCGCAACCACCGCCGCCTTGTCCCTGTCGATCCGTACCGTGGGCGGTTCCATCGGCTTCACCATCTACTACAACATCTTCGTGAACAAGCTCAACACGCAGCTACCTAAACAAATTGCCAAGTATGCCATCAAAGCAGGTTTGCCGGCAGCAGATGCCACCGAGTTTGTGACAATGTTTCTGGCTGCTCCGGCCAATATTACCCAAGCGGTTGGATATACACCACAGGCATTGGCGGGCGCTACGTTGGGCGAGAGATGGGCTTATGCCGAGTCCTTGAAGTGGGTTTGGGTCACTAGCATTCCGTTCGGTGTGTTGGCCATCATTACTTGCTTCTTCATACCCAACATCAAGAAATATCAGACCAACAGGGTCGCGGTCGCTTTGTGAGGGCAACACGTGTGATTGCTGGGAATTTAGTTGCAAGCCTCCAGGGTCAGCAATACTGCGAGCAGGGTCCGCCAGTGGACGAAAAGTCAGTTCTTAAAATGTGAGCATATGCAAGTATTGCTTGGACTGAGATCTGTAGCTCATGAATCAGACCTTAAAATCGTGCCCTGCCTATGCTTGACTCGACCTTTTGATGCCCTAATGATCTCAGGTTAGTAGATAAAGCCGTAATGTGGAACTTTTGATGCTGTGCTGCTCATGCATGCCGTCGTTCCACAAAGCAGGGCAAAATGCGGCTTCCATATCTTTCGTAGGCGAAGCGGACCATCGCCAGTACAGAACGTCAACCTGTCGAGCGACCACCTCTGACTAAACGGCACAGCTTACAGCGGTACGATTAAGCTTCTACTTTGGGCCCATCTTTCCATATACAATATTTCTTTCTCGGCCCTTTTCGGCTACGGGATTATCCGGTTTTACACCGCTTAGTATCCTTCCGCGGCGGACCAAATAGTTGTTGTTTTAGTCGGCTCTGGTAACACGAAGTGTTTAGCCATTGCATCCAGTGATCGTTTTTTAACTGTCTCTCAATAAACCATCTCATAGGTTTGGGGAAACTAGCTAGAAAATTACGCTTATCGTGACTAAGCTCTAAAGTTATGGCTAGGGTTAGGCTTAGCTACGGGACTTCGAACACTACTTCCCTTCTGAAATACCTACATCTTCTGTAAACATAACTATCATCAGCCATTCGAATGAGAACCTTATTCTCTAGTATAATTCAAGAAGACGCGTAATATCGATGGATAGCGTTTAGAAGAGAACGAGAGTCCTAAAATCGGCATAGTACAGTCCCCCGATAGACATAGTAGTCGTATACGCGTTCGGGGCTTAAGTGTAGCTCGAAGAAGAACCGGGAAGCCTATAATTTCCGCTTCTCTTCATCTAAGTTAAGACGGCTGTAAGTAGCTATTTGTATTAGTCGAGGGATCTAGGATATATTATCTAACTCCGGTAACTCGTCGGCGAATTCAAGGGTAAGACGGCAGAATCGATCTCTTACATCGTCGTAGAGACGATTTAAAAGAGCCGCCTAGTTGTTATCGGCGTCTAAAGATGGCGAGGATAAAAATGCCCGTAGAATCCGGGGGATAAACCTATTAAGTCATATTATAATGGGGGAGAAAGGCAAGCTAGAACGTAATTAGTGGAATTAGCCTATATAATATATAGGTAGGCACTCTTAATCATTAGTTAGTGGGGATATAGGCCTTAGGTCTAAGTTTTCCTTTTCTTTTCCTTAAGGAATATATATACTAATAGATATACGAGTAGAGAGTAATTAAGTTATCTATCTAGTTATGGAACCTATCTAATTAGGACCTTCGATATTATTATTATTATTAAGAAGCGATAGTCGTTACCCCTACTAGTATACCTACCGCCGTACTGTAATGGGGGAGAAAGGCAAGCCGGAACGTGATTGGTGGAATTGGCCTGTACAATGCACAGGCAGGCACTCTTGATCATTAGTTGGTGGGGACACGGGCATTAGGTCTGAGTTTTCCTTTTCTTTTCCCTTAAGAAGGACACACACCGAGAGACACGGTAGAGAGCAATCAAGGTATCTATCTAGTTATGGAATCCAATTGATCAGGACCTTCAATGCTATCTTATTGCTACTGTGCGATAGTCGTTACCCCTACCACTATGCCCACCGCCGTACGAGTTGATACCTCTAGCTAAGAGCCTCGCCCCAGTTCAGTACGAGTTAATACCTCTAGCTAAGAGCCTCGTCCTAGTTTAATATTCTACGGTATAGTCCTAAGTTATGATCTAAGGGGCTATAGTATCTAGTGCCGATAGAGAGAATAAAGTGTGGCTAAACGTACTTAGGCCAGATATAACCGAGTTCTCATAAGGCTTTCTCGGTCGGGTTATTATCTGGAATTCCACCATCCTATAATGCCCTAAAATACTTGATTACCTTAGCACGAAAATAGCTATCCGTACTTTAGCTCGACCTTTGTAAAATCTACGGCTGATACTAATTACCTCGGTACAGTAGCTGTACATCGTACGCTAGTAAAATAAATTAGTAGCGTTTTAGGATTGCCGGGGTTTTAACTATACTCCGGAACTACTAATATCTCCTATAAGTGAGGTTCTCTAGAAGGATCAGTAGAACGCTTAAGGAATAAGCTTCTAATTTCCCTTCTGATTTCCTAACACGATCCTTCTCTGTATCTTCTACGTATCCACGAAGCCACCGGAGCGCCTCATCTGTAAACTCCGAAGCCTCACAATCCGGATTAAGCCTTTCTTTAAACAAAGTGGTCGCGGAGGTAAGGGCCTTTATTTTCTGTCTCATCTCTCGGTTCTCCGCCCTTAGAGACTTCATCTGATTGTTTTGCAGGTAGTGACTGTGGAGTGCGGCGTCAAGTTTTTTGGATAGAACATCCTTGTCCTTTTGGACAGTCGAGTTCTGAATTTGGAGGAACTGAACTCTCTTCTATACTTACTTGCTTCTCATTAAGAGTGTAAACCAGTTAATGGCTTAAATCGATAACGATTTTGTCGAGTTGGTAGTGAAACGTCGCCATTTGAAAGGATCAATATAGAACTAGGTCGTCCTAATTACTTCGCACCCTGGATTTAGCCTAACGCGAGCCCCTTTAATAGTAACTTAACCACACAAGTGAGTGGTTATAGGTTACACACCTCACATGCCTAAAGTGGCAAATGAATCCTATAACGCCCATCCTTATGGAACCCTGATCAAACCCAGATGAAACTCCCAGCCCAGTCATGCAAAAATCAAATACCCTATATTTCACGAGGATACCTTTCTGACCTATGTATGCTCACGGGCAGTGCCGTAGTGCGGTATCTTTAATGGTCCCTGGCACGCTCAACCCTATGCCGGAAACCCTCCACCGATGTCTGCTTCACGTTCTTTGCCAATCAATGATCGTGCCTAAAAAGCGCAACATTACTCCACCGCCACGTTTCTCTCTTCTCTTTGGACTTCGACCGCAGTATTTGTAGCCGCTGGAGTACTCTTTTTAATATTAGCCAGGTTCTAGGGTTTTCGACTTTTATTGTTCGTTTGTTTCCTTGCTCGGAATGCTCCAGTCGAACTCGCATACATTCCGTGTTAGACAACCGCGATTTTACTCGCACCTCAATCTCCAGGCGACACCTTTACTATGCAACCCACTAGAACTCATCTGTCGAATCCTTTCAACCTCAGATGAGGTGATCTGGCACGATTGTGGAGCCGAGACTCTCTTCGTCGTTCACTACCTCCGATTTTTGTTTCACTTATTTGCTTCATTAGCGGTGGTGTTCATACCGACGATCGGCGTATGGAATTACTTCTCTAGTCGATCCGCAGGTGCTGCTGATTTCGTGACAAGGATGAGTTGGTCCGCGTTCTCATCGACGGGACCCGTCGGGCTCTATTGGTTCTATGCCTTGGCTGTGCCTTTTTTTGCAACTTATCTTCTCCTCATGGTATCTTGGGAGCTTGAAAAGGCAGCCCGGCTATTGCGAGATCCGCCCATTCAGGATGGGTCAACTGGAGTACAGTCAAACGCGTTTTGGGTTCTGATAACGCAACTGCCTACCAATTTGCAAGACGAGGCCGCAATTCGTACCTGCTACCGTGAATGGGGAGCACACATCACCTTCATCGGATTTGTTCCCGACTGTGCCTCAGCGGAGAAGCTGTCGATAAAACGGCAAACTCTTCTTCGAACGATCGAACGACGGGAGACAAACTTCATGTCTGAAATGGTCCGGCTGCACCGAAGTGAGACTGAGGAGGCATTTGCACTGCAATTGGCGGCAGCTTTATCCCAAAGTCATAACAAGCTCACCCTTTGTAAGGGTAAGGTCGGAAAATACGTCAGATGGAACTTACCATCGTGGCTACCCTATGACTTGCAACCAGTCAGTTCGCTTTACCTGAGTCTAATCTGGCTGAACGCTCGATTTCGGCAGAAATTGGCTCGGATCAAAAACGAACAGTCAACCGCTGCCCTCGTAGCTTTAGACCAAGATCATTTTGCCCGTGCCTTAGCCTATCACCACCCTTCCACTACAATATCAGCTTTGAGAATGCGATATCTTGGGGTCACGACGGCTCATGTGATACCATCCAACCTTCGAGGGGCAAGCTTGACGGATCAGACGAGGCGCGAGACTATTAACATCTTGGCCACCATTCTGGTTGTCCTGTGGACTATCCCGGTCGGAGCCAGTGGCGTCTTGTCTTAAGTGAGCTCTGCCGTTTCTTTGTGGCAGGGAGAAGATAGATTTTCGCTGCCTCCTTGGCTCGTTGGCATCCTCCGAGGCGTCATGCCACAGTTGGTGACGTCCTTCTTGATGTCCGCATTTCTCTGGATCCTCCGGCTTCTAGTGTCTGGGAAAAGATATGTTACCGTGACGGAAATACAGGCATCCACGCAAAAATTTTACTTCTGGTTCCTTTTTGCCCAGTTATTCTTAACCACCTCTTTGTCCTCCGGTCTTATCCCGGCGCTGGTGGCAGTTGCTGACGACGGGATCACAACACTCCCACGAATTCTCGCTAGGAACTTGCCTCTTGCGAGCACCTACTTCATCTCTTACAACATTATTGCAGCAATTACGCTTAGCACGGCGAAGTTGATGCGTTTCCGTGCAGTGCTCCAACTTTACGTCTGGAGAAAGGATTCCTGCGCCCCGAGAGACCAAATCGACCAACTATATCGCTTGCACGACTCTCTTTCGTGGGGAGAGCTCTATGCGCAGTTGGCGGTGATAGCCAACATCGGTCTGCACAAATTCATACCGTGCAGATGATTTCACTAACATATAGATAGGGCTGATATATGCGTTCTTGGCCCCTTTGATACTGGCAACCTCAGTCTTGGGCTTCGGCCTTTTGCTTTTTAGCTTTCGATATGTCCTTCTTTACACTGCTCACATTCCCGTAGACAGTGATGGTGCACTGTACTTCGAGGTAATGTTCGATTTTGTTTGGGGCTTACTCGTCTCAGAAGCGTGCATCCTCGGACTTTTCATCCTTAAGATCCAGTCTGCGCGGCTGGCTCATGATCTAGGTCAAATTGCAGTGATTGGGCTCACACTGTTCTGTACAGTGCGATATGTCGCTGCGCTAAGACGATCATACCAACCAATCACACAATCTATTCGGAGTAATCGTCGTGGTTCGACAGTGAAAGAGAAATTTCGGCCACAGCGTCAGCTTTTCAAGAAGTATGGCTCCATTCAAAGCATCGAACCAGTCATTTGGTTGCCAAAGGACCATCTAGGGGTCAGCCAGGCGGTTGTGAACAGCATCCAGGAGAATTACTCGACCACTGCTCGTGGTGACAGTCCTTCTGTGATGCACGGCGGCGCCTCGGTGACAACGTAGGGCCGCGTCATTCTTCAGGACAATGCAAGCAAAGTTGTTGAGAAACTTGAGCGATACTGCACGAGATTCTGATAGTTCTACAATCCTTTAAGAGAATAGTCTACCAAAGCTGTTATTCTTCCAAGGTTTCGTTATATGGCTCGTTCATTCAGACGTTTGTGTCATCTGTGGATGCTCGTAGCGCCGGCGCTCGATCTCGCTTTCTGTACTCTCAATCTGCAGGACATTGATTCTCTGCTCTCACTCACTCGCGAAATTTCGCGTCACAATCAGTTCCCGAGACTGAGTAACTGAGTATTGTCTCATCTCAGATCCTACCAAAGGTCGCTCATACCAGTTTCGTGGAATCTTATGACATGCTACAGAGACACTAACAATATGTCTTGCAGCCGGTTCCCAGCAGGATCAAATTGGCCGGAAAAGAAGCCAAGCTCCGAAGTCACACAACCTAAAAAGAAAACTTGGAAATTTGAGCGAGGTTGTTGTTGATTGACTGTGGGGTTTAGAGCCAGCTTGCTCGAGCCTCTTCCATCATTCAGACTTGGTATATAACATGACGTTGTATTACTGGCGACACTATCTCGCAGCTCAGCGGATGTATATCCAGTGATTAGTGATATGTACAAAAGAAGACGCGACAGAACACTCGAGATTGCAGGGACTTCGAAATGAGTACAGCCCCCTTTTTCGGTTTTCCTTTCTGTTGGGCAACCCACCTGACCAAACCGCCGTTAGGCGCAAGAGAAACTGCTCGCATCATCAACATTTCCCTTACCATCGTAGGTAATTAGTTGAGGGTACGGACACAAGTTCCGCGTCACGTTCCTCGATGGAGAGACAGCAAGAGCTGCAGGCAAGTTTTCTGGAGCCTCATGAGATTCAACCCAGCTCACCAGTGCAGCGAGAGGATCCGTCGGCACCGGCCCGATGCCTCCAGCACAGTGCGCCACACCGGGAGCGAAGAAGACTCGATAGAAATCATTCAGCTGGGTTTGATTGAGAGCCATTTCACGCGAAAGCGATGAACGGTACAACATGGTGCTGTAGGGCGTGATCAATGGGTCTGCCAACCCGTGCCACGTGAGTAATTTGCCGCCGCCAGCCTTGAACCGTGACAGGTCGGGCGACATGGTGCCCAAAATGCGGGAGAATTCGACCACGGACTGTCCAAAGACGTCGTCGAAGTCGCCAAACGTCATATTCCTGGTGGGATAGTTGGGATCGTGAACCACAAGGTACTTGATCCATGCTTCCGCGGAGGAGAAGGGAACCGGCACTGTGACACCATTGGCGGCGGTGGTGGTATTTGCCAGGCCGCTGAAGACGGCGCCTCGAGGATTTCCAGGAAACAAAGATTCTCCGTTGATTGAAGTGCTGCCAGCCCAGATGCGAGACACAACGTTGGCAAAGGTGGCCGATATGGTCACGTTCTGGCCGCCGCATTGGACTCGCTGGCCGACCAGGCTTTGCGGATCGAAATCGCAGACTCCCAGATTCGAGATCAATCCGTCTCTGGCACCATCAAGGGGGTCGCAGTATTCGAGGGTGGCGTTATAGTAGGCATCGAAGACGCATTGTGGTGGAGCTTCCAAGTTCTGCATCACCACCGAGGGCCAAAAATCGCTGGGGGAGATCTCGGGGGAGTTCAGCGCCGGAGAATTCGCCATAATCCCGTCGAAATCTTCGGGGTACACCTGGGCGGCGAAGTAGCCCTGGCGTCCACCGGTGGAGCAGCCAGTGTAGTACGAGTAGGCCGGAGCCTTCCCATAGAACGTTTGTGTCAGAGACTTGCCAATCACAGTCATGTCGTGGATGGCCCTGTGTGCAAAATTTTTGACGAGGCTTTCATTGAGAGAGCCGTCCTCGGTCAACGCCCACTGGCCAGTTTGAGGGTCGATCGAATTGTTCAAAGTGAGGCCTCCATCCGTCGTCCCAGTGGCGTATCCAAAAGGGGCCGCGCCGAGAAGATAGTAAGCCCCGAACCCAGCTGCCAGTCCCCCACCACCGGTGGCCTGGAAACGTCCGTTCCAATTGTTCAGCGGCAGCCAGATGTTGACCCATGTGGTATCACATTCGTCTGGGTGGTTGTAGCTCACAGTGACATTACAGAAGTCGAGCGACACGCCAGGACCAAGGGGGCTGGTGTAGTTGCGTGCGGCTACGGCTTGCACACTGGAAACTTCAAGTCCCGACGGGGGCGGCAATGTCAGATGCTCACATGGCATCACGGGAGTGGTGTTATTTGTTGGCAACGCCAGAACTTGTTTCGCCCAGGCATAAGCCAAGGCACTGAACGTCTGTATCTTAGTCATCTTGTCGAAGGTAAAAGCACGCATTCGAGGTAGTCTCTCGAAATGAATTCGAGCATGGAGGAAGCTCGCATCTTTCAGCGACACACCCCTCTCTTACATTGCCACTTGACCGGCATTGATTGACTCAGTTATTTCAACTTTGCCGGTTCCGATCAGCTTCTATCGATGTTATGTGCCCTTCCTTCTTCGGCACCTCACTTTTCAGGTCAGGCTGCACTTCAAGCTTGATCGGCTTAGGGAAGGGGCCGAGACCCCGCATTCTCCAGGTAAAAATGAGATCCACAATGACCCTCTGCTTCTCATGGCTCGTGACTGACGGCCCATCGGCTCGGTTGCGGTTACGGTTGCGGGTTCGGCATCGGTCGGCTAACATAGTCACTATCTAGTAACCAACCCATGGCAGAACGAGCAACAGTTTCACATGGTTCATTTTTGAGACGATTCGGTCGGCATGTGCCCGCCTTTCGACGTTCAACAAGTACAAATTCGACGGGGCTCGGGATTAAATCTATGACGAGGCTGGGTTGGCGTGGTCATAGTTTATGTCTTGCACCACCAGCGAGAGCCTTGAACCTGGCTTGCACAACCCCTGACGCGAAACGTTCGGTTCCTGCGACCACCTCCCGAAGGTTTTGTTGATCCAATACTTCTCGCTCGGGTTGACGGATCAGCTCCTTTATTGCTAACATACTGCTGGCATTGAGATGGATACCCAGACGATCGTTAACCTCGTTAAGAACCTCTTTCAGGAAGCCTGCGCTGTCGTCCTGCTTGCCGGATGCCGGTGACATGACCATGTTCACAAACCCAGCTGCTTGGAGCTCACCGGACGTGATCCGTTTGCCCATGATAAGTGCTTCATTGGCCTTGCTGGCCCCGAGTCGCTGTATAAATGTCCGGGAAGAAGCCCCTTCGGCGAGGGAGCCAATGGAAGAGAAGGGGGCGAGCAGGTAGGTGTGGGGAGCAGCGTAGATGAAGTCGGCCAGAGCCACCAGTGCCGCAGAGAGACCCACTGCCGGTCCATTGAGGGCGGCAACCAGGATTTTTCGATGCTGATAAAATGCCCGCGTAACGTCGAGTGTCACGGCGGCAAACGACCGCAGAGCGGCGAGTCGAGCATTGCTGCCGCTGGCGTCGTCGTCGTCCAAAGTGCCTGCACTTACGTCCGCGCCACTAAATACAACATTAGGGTTGACCCAAGGCAGTTAAAAGTGCGCATACTCACGCTGAGAAAAAGCGGCCGGTGCCTGTAATGACCGTGATGAGTATGTCGTCTCTTGTATCGATCTGTCGAAGTACTTCTCCCAAGGCGTAGTAGAGGGATGCTGTCAAAGCATTGAGTTTTCTGGGCCGGTTGAGGGTGACTATAGCGACCCGGCTATCGAAGGTGAGTAAAATATCATCGTTATTCGACATGCTGCGTCGCCTCAGCCTCTCAATCTTGCCGATTTAGAATGGACAACCCGCAAACTTGGAAGCCAAACCGTGACTGTATTGCCCGACGTGGTGAGCGCGAAGAAGAAATTATGAAATTTATACTTGGCCGAGTACGCCTAAGAACAGAGATGACCGTATTTATGTGCAGCTGTCCTGGAGAGGAGCATTCTCGGTAGTTAGTGGTTCCTTACGTGCTCTATTACCGCTTCCAAGGTCTAGGGGCCCGGTTTACATAAACCCACATGATCCCGGGGGATCACATCTATCCGAGAGGACCCTAGAACGTCATAGGATTCCTCGCGAGGCTAAGCGAGGCTAGTTAATCCGGCGGCGCGGTTATACTAAGGTATCGCTATATTCCGTCGCTATATTCTTTTAACTTACTACTCCCACTATCCCGATAATTAAAGTAAAACCAGTACTAACGGGCTTATCTTATCGCGGCTGATCAATTAGTATATAATATATAGTAATAGTATATCGCGTAGTAGAATAGTAAAGTTATTAGGGTAAGCTCTCTACTACGGCATAGTATACATATTAGAATACTAAGTAGACTAGTTTAGGTTAGGCCTAACTCTATCCTTCTTCTAGCCCTAACTCTATTCTAGTCTAGCTGGGTGACCCATCTATATATAAAATAGGTCTTAGTATAAGGGGTTAGGTTATCTATCTACGGGTGATACATCCACTAATAAAAACTCTTAGTTATCCCCTATTACTTTCGCGTCTAGTTATAAGAGTGAAGAATTTCGCTATATTACCCTATACTATTAATTATCTATCGTTTTAAGGGTTATAACTTATTTAGGATACCTAAGGGGCTATCTAAGCTTAATTTTAACTTTCTAGATCTAAGACGTAGGTTAGTAGTAGACGATAATATACTAGATATCGGTGAAAGTACGTCGTAGCCCGCCCCGATACCGCTAGTTTAATAGCTATAGCTACTCTTAGAGTTCGGGGTTATTCTCTACACCGTCTACTAGATATACTATACGCTAGTGTTACGAGTCGCTTTATACGTGAGGTATTACTAGTAAACCCTATAAGGTTTACTTAGTAATATAGTAGTAGGATAAAGTAGCTAAGACGAAACTAAGAGTATAGTATACGAGCTATACATAAAGCGTATAACCGAGAGGAACTCAATTATTTATGAACGAAGTTAACTACGAAGGAGAACTATAGAAAGTATAGTAGCTATATAGTAAGAAGATTCGTAGTGCTCTATTAAACTATATTACTATATTTAATATATATTAATA